TTGTACGTTGCCTTCTTAGCTTATTTTTTGTTTTTGTCTTTTTAAAACATGTTTTGAGGCTTCTATTAAAACACAGAAATACAGAACAATTAAAAACCAGCACAAGTTTTGCCTTTCCCAGCGACCTATTTACAGCTACTTCCAAAAACCTCCTTGCACAATTTGGCTGCTTAAAAAAAAAAAGATAAGGGGAAAAAAAAAAAAAGAAAAAGGAAAGAAAAACACTGGAAGGAGGAAAAGAAAGAAAAAAAAAAGAAAAGAAACCTTTACAAACTGCCACAGGGTCTGGAAGTCCCTGGTCACCACTTCAGGTTTGGAAATTAACAGCCCAATTCCCCGTCCCTCCACCCCTTCCTCCCCACAAAGAAAGGAAAAAGAAACCCAATTCACATCAAGTTTACTGCACGTCTGGTTTTCTGTAGAGAGGCAAATCCCATATGAAACACGTCCGCCTCGGCATCCTCCACTGGCGTTGGCCCCCAACCCTCCCCCAAAGAAAGGTTTAGAAAAGTTTGTACAATCAGAGCCTGCCCCTCGCCACCCCGCGCGCCAGCCCCGGTCAGAAGGGCAGGTTGGCCATGTTCCCGGGCCCGGGGATGTAACTCATTTGGCTGTCCAGGGAGACACTCCTCTGCCTCATCTGGTGCGTGACCATGAGGTTCTGCTGCGGCGGGGGGCCCATGAGAGAGCCCTGAGGTGACATCATGTGTCCGGGCTGGGCGTACATCTCCCCCGACACCGACATGCTCCTCTGCTTGGCCTGCATCAGCATGAAATTCTGCTGGGCCATCAGGCTCTGCTGCGGAGACATCATGCCCTGGTGCATGCTGTTGCCCATCATGCCCTGCTGGGGCGGCATGCCTGTCCTCGCCAGCATGGGCACTTGTCCGGGGTGGCACATGGGCATGCCCAGGCCCCTCTGCACACCCTGCTGCCCGGGAAGGCTCGGGGCGCTCATACCTGGCCGCACAGGGGGCTGCTCAGCCATCATGTTCTGCAGGTTCATGAGGTGGAGGTTGGAAGGCTGAGATTTGGGCGCTTGGCTGTCGCTCTTGGGGAAATACTGCAAGGTGCTGCTCGGCTTCTCCGACGGGATGATCCTGGACAGGTCAAACTCGGGGATGCCGGTAGGCGTGGGGCGAATCACCTCACTGAGCTCAGGGTCGTTCAGCACGGAGGCCACCCCGGGAAGCACGGCGGGATAGGGCTCTCCGATCCGCGGCGGGACGTTCTTGCCCATCATGTGCTGCTGAGGGGGCATCTGGCCGGGCTGCTGGGAGGGAAGGCAGGGGCTTTCCTGGCGGGTAATGCTGCTGCATGCCGGGGCCGCCTGCCCCTCCCGGGGCCATGGGCATGCCGCCCGCTGGAGACTGCATGGCACTGTGGGGCTGCTGCATGCGGGGGAACACGAGCTGGTTGGAAGGAATCATCTGGGAGCTGTTGGGCACGGGGCCGCACGGCTGGTTCAACGAGTCCTGGGGCCCCGGGGGCAGCATCATGGCGTTCTGGGGGGGCACACCCGCCCCTGGTGCACTAGGGTGCATAGGAATGTTGGAGCCCAGCGGGTTCGGGGACGACATCATGGACGTGGGGGGCGGTTCGTGGGAGAGAGGTTGCTGACCGGGCAGGTTCATCCCCATGGGGCTCTGAGAGGAGCCGGGCCCCACGGAGTTCAAGTGCAGTTGATTCGGCTGGTTCCCCGTCACGCCTAGTGAGAGGGAAGAGAGAAGAGTTAACGCGCTGCCCACTAACGCGCTGCCCACACGCCTCTTGCAGCTGCAAAGTCACGGAGCAGCCCAGCATGTCTGCTCAAAAAGCCCGCAGCTCAAAGTGACAGTCACAGTAAGGGGCTGCCAGAAGGGTTTGCAAAGCGCCGACATCAGCGAGAAATGCCCCAAACTCCTGCTCCCCGAGCTTGCGAAGAGCTGCGAGCGGCTCCGGCCCCATCCGCGCCCAGCCGTCAGACCCGACCGCCCGCCCCTGCGGCTGCACAGATCCCAGCTGGTTCTGCGTGTGCGGATGGCCCTGGGGACACGAGGGGATCTCAGCGGGGCACTCAGCACCCTGCCTGCGCGGAGCAGCGACCCATCGGCACTGCCCGAGCGCTCGGTTAGCCAGGGAGCAGACTCCAGGTGCCACACGCCCTCGGGCGGCAGGGAGCAGGAAGACCGAAACGCCTGCAGCCTAACGCCAGCGACAATCTGGGAGCGAAGAGCGTGCTCCTCAACGCGGCCTTTGCACAGAGGTTCAGTTTAAGAGGGAGCAAGGGCGTTTGCATATCTGAGGTCACTGAGTACCTAGGAGAGAGAGAGTCAAACACCTGATTTTTCATTTCGAAAACCACCAAAAGTGTTTATCAGACAGCTTTAAAAACCCCTAATCAAGTGACACAGCCTGCTGGAATTCCCCTTCCCCTCTAGCTGGTCATCAAACGATAAAAGACGATCACATTTGCTTAGCTGTCCTCATGAGCGCCACCAGCTAGCAAAGCAGATCTGCCTGTCGCATACTGAGATCAAAACCGAGGAGCGCTGGCGCTATGGAGCTATGACACGGCCTTGCCTGTGCAGGCGCCCGGGCTCTACTCGGACCATCCGACTTCTGAGCCTTGTTTGCACTGTCCCTGTCCCATTAATGGGCCGTGTCCTCCAGAAAACAAACACGCACAGTCTCACAGAGTCACAGAATGGTTGAGGTTGGCTGGGACCTCCAGAGAACATGCAGTCCAAGCCCCCTGCTCCAGCAGGGACACCCAGAGCACGGGGCACAGGGTGGCATCCAGGTGGGTTTGGAAGATCTCCGGAGAAGGAGCCTCCACAGCCTCTCTGGGCAGCCTGTGCCAGGGCTCTGGCACCCTCACTGGAAAGAAGTTCTTCTTCGAATGGAGGTGGCACTGCCTGGGTTTCAACTTGTACCCATTAATCCTTGTCCTGTCACTGGCCACCCCGGAGAAGAGTTTGGCCCCATCCTCCTTATTTTCACCTCTCAGATACTTGTACAGATTCATCAAACAACAGCAATTGAAGGAAAACCTGGGGCTCCGAACAAGAGATATCTGCCTGGAAGTCCTGGGACATCTCCAGGAGCAGAGGAAAATCCAGGGCCGACGCATCCAAACAGGATAAAGGTAGCTTCAGGAACTTACGGAGCTCATGCAAAGACAGTGGCCAGAACACCAAACTGGGACACGTCTTTCTGAACAGCACACCCAAGCCGAAAGCTGGCAGACTGTGTGGGCATGCAGACTACCAAGAACGAGGACAAATTTAAGCTCCTTGCCCGAGAAGCTGATGGGAGAGCAGAGTTTCTCAGGCCTGCTTCAACTTTGCAGCTGCCCTCTCCTGCTCTGCACAGTCCATCGGGCTGCCAACGTCCACAGGAGACTCTAACGGCCCTAATGCCCCGTTCCCAAGCTCCATACCTGACATACTTCCAGGCGGGAGCAGAGGCCTGTCTGGCAGCAGCTCGTCATCAGAGGTGGCGATAGTTTTGATGGCATTGTGGTAAAGTGGTGTGGAGCTGGGCATGGCATACTTGGACATCTGGGACATCATCAGCGAGAGGGGGTTCTGGGAGGGGGATGGATCTGGAGAGGAAGTAAAAGGCATATTGGGATTCATGGTGCTAGAGGTGTTACTGGCTGGTGCGGAAGAACTGCTCCTAGGCCCAGAAGGGAGAGAACCTGCAAGCAAGAGAGAAAGCGGCTTAGTACCACCCCAGACTGCCAGACAGCAAACCCATTCTCTCCTCAGAACCGCAGCGCGCAAACACAGACGGGCTGCAAAACACAGAGCCCTCAGCACTCGGGGGAAGAACGTGCCTACAGCCCGTCCCGCGTGTACGCTTCTCCCCAGGCTGCTTTCTGTCACCTCTGCTGACGGTCGGGACACAAACCGTGCAGCTGTGCCAGCGGGAACGGCTGCAAATGCGCCCTGGGCTGCCTGAAACAAGCGGCCAGGCAGGCAGAGCGCCACGTGCTTCCTGGGGCACAGAAAGCACCAGGCTGCTGCTGACAGCGGGAGCGCAGGCGGCCCGAGACGGCTGCATCTGGGGGATGGGAACCGCAAGCGCAGGAAGCAGCCCAGGACGCTCCTAATGAGCCCTGGTGTTAAGCTCTTTGTTGCAGAGTCCGGGATGTGCACACACTCCAAACAGCAGCGCACGGGCACACGCACACACACACACGACCCCAGCATACCCGGATCCAGTCCTCCCATGGAAGCGGACGAGTTCATGCTGAGGCTTTGCTTGCTCTGGTTGACGCCGGGGCTGGGCATGGTGGCTTTGGGAGATGGCACCCAGCCCGGGGAAGGAACAGCCATGGGGGGAGACTTCAGGCGGCTTGGGGAGCCAGTGGGAGAGCGGACGCTGAGCGAGGAGCTCATCACCTGGGGGGACTTCAGGGGCCCGGACTGGTTCGAGGGAGGCATGCTGACCATCTGCGAGGGCGTCTGCGGGGACTTGAGGTTGGCAGAAGGGGAGGTGACGAGCGGCGAGTGCACCTGGCTGAGCGTGGGCGACTTGAGGTGGCCCATGCTGGGGGAGTTCATCTGGCTGATGTTGATGGTGAGGTCCGAAGGGCGGCGGCCCAGGCCCCGGGAAGGCGCCGGATGCACGTTGGCCAGGTTGCCCCCTTGCGCGGG